GCTTCAAAACAGTACTATCAGTGATCAAACAACACTCAGCCAGCTTCAAACATTGTACCTTATTGAAATCAGGTGTGATTATGATAGCTGATGTTGTTTATGACACAGAAACACCATAAAATATCACCAGATAAAGCCATATGAAACGTGAAAGTTATGATCCCACTTTCTAGACGGTATATCTCAGCCAAAAATAGTGGTAGGAGTGAGACTCTTACCTTTTATAAACCAGCTAAGTCCCCGCTAACAGCTCCACATAAGATCGCGAGTAATCCTTTAACTTTTCCCGTCGAAAAACGGCATGACATGACTTGTCACCACTCATCGCGATTTTGGACTTTATGTGTTTAGGCTGCTCTGGTGCCAAATACATAATAAATAAAAGAAAAACAATGTTATTTTTGAAAAGTTGAGAGCTTCCTGAATCTGGCAATACCAAACATCACATGGTTTGATGACAAAGTAACTACAGGAAATGTGTTCCTTCAGCTCAGGCTCCGGTTGGCTATTGTGGCCATAGAAAACAGCACTGGAAGAAATATGAATGTTTGAAACGATGCAACAGCAGTTGGTGGATATCTGTGGATGTAATAATGTGTTAGGACTAAATATTTAACTGGATTTAGATCATCTGGACTGTTGTCAGTGTGTGAGAAAGAAAATGGGAGCTGTGATTCTGTCTGGATGATATGGATCTGTGGATTATGATGATGCTGCATAGGTGAGTTATAACTGGTTTTCTCTGACAGAAGTGATTATTGAGCCTGTGGTGGTGGTGGTTGTAATTTGAGATGGTCAGCACCAATGGCACCGTGAGGAGTGTAGCTTTTGAACAATATGTCGTATGATTCAACCACTTAAAGAACAAATACAGCTGTTGCTTTTTTAATCATCAAAAATCACCTTAGGAGGTCCCGTGGACGGGACAGTTTACAGACCATAATGTTAAGACAGATGGCATAACCTCTACTTACGTGGGAAACAGACACGCTCCATCTGGTCTCCGTGGTTACGGCGCAGGGTAGCGTGGAGCCGCTGGAAGTCGGAGTATCGGCGTGTGATGATGGCTGGAGTCTTATCGCTGCCGCCAGACTGGATCACATGGATGGTGTACAGCTGGGGAGAGACAGTGACAGACAGGCTGAGTTTCCTCTGAACGTTCTTGAGCAGCTATTTTTTTTAAAACCACTTTGCTGAAGACTTCCTGTGTGGTCAGGGTGTGTCTGGGCTTCAAATTTTGAACTGATGAATGCAGAACATGAGGCTTCATAATCTCTCTCTCTCTCATGTAGAATTTATTTAGGAAGTCCACTTTTAAATAGTTTTGCAGACTGATAGGAGTCTGCTGAAGTGGTGCATTCATGTTCAGTCGTGACCTTTTTGATCAGTTCACAGCAACTGCAGCAGCTGACAGCCGTGAATAAATTCAAATCAATGACAAAACTGCAGCTTGTTTCTCATTAACTGACCATCACAAGAACTTTCCAGGCCAAAAATATCAATAATCCTTGAAATATTTTTAAATCATGTCTTTCTAACCCACACAGCACAACGTCTGAGCAGGCACTCATAGCCTTGAGGACATCAATGGTAGGTTGTTATCAAGCTGAGCTGCTTTACCACTGTAGAGTTCAGAGGTGACTCCACACTATGATACAGCCGACCGCCAGGGTGCAGCATCACAGCTGTACGTGTATTTACAGGCAGATTTCAAACCAGTTTTAAAAATTCAGTTATCAAGACAAAATTATGAGGATTTGCAAACTTCATCTCGACAACATAGAAACATCTGGGATGTTGTTTTACAAAGACTGATTGATCCATAACTGATAAATATGATGCGTAAAGTTGTTGTTTTTCCACTGACTGCTACAAGTTACAAGATGGCAGAATTCAAAATGCTGTCAAAGATTTTTCACTTTTCACTTATAACTCTGAAATTGAAAACACTTCATCTACCCTGATGGCAAAATACTTTCACTTTTTTTTCCATAAACACTGGAGCTTTATATAGTGAGGATTTGCAGTAGGCATTTATGGTGATGAATTCCTGATCATTCAACAATCTGTGTCATGGGTTTGTAAAGGACAGTCTGAAGATGCTGTGTAGCAAGTTTGGTGTGAACTGGACCTGGTAAGTTTTGTTTATTATCATGGGAAGTTAGATTAGGAGGAGAACACTGTCACAGAGGGACCAACAGAGCTGCCCAGACCCTAATAAATATCTGTAATTGACGGTCTCCTGGTGACTTCTCTCTGCTGTCAGCTATCAACAACGTGAAAAGCCCCTAGCCCCCAAAACAAGACACAATACTGTTTTAATAATGTAAATACAACAGACCGTTGGTGTTCTACATTTATGACAACCACAAATATGTTTCACTGTGAGAACATTTGGTTACAGTTAGGAAATCATGTTTTAACCTAAGAAAGCCCAAACTGGAAGAAAGGAAACTCAGTTTTTTAGCCACCCCTGTCTGGTGCCTAAAAAGCTGCTGGAAACACAGCTGTGACTCACAAAAAAAAAACAACATTTTGTTGTTTATTGGTCTCCAACGGTGGTCTGCAGCTTGGCAGGCCTCTCCCCAAAGTGTCACACCATCCACCATCCCCGAAGACAGCAGCTCAAATACTACCTCACTGTAGAAACACTGATATGAGACATATAAAACATGCAAATAAAACTCATTGGTGGTTTGCAGACGTACAATGCCAACATTGTTGTCAGGCGACTGGGCTGTGTGGTTATAAACCAGACACAGACACATTTACATCCCTAGGTGTATCTCAAAATGGCCACTCTAGAAGAAGCCCTCACTCTTTGAGTCACAGGGACTGACACCACACTTGTTTTTTTCCCCACTGACGTTTCAGATCACTGAAACATTCTGAGCTATTAAAGCCTCGTAGGACTCCTGGAAATATCTTAGAGTGTCACATGTTGCTGCTATCCACAGGAAGAAGAAACAACATTAAGATCACTAAAAAAATGCATCATTTACAGCTGTTTTAATAGCGTTCAACAGGACTCAATTCTGTGACACGCAGAGCCTACGCACGTGACCTACACCATTGTGAGCATTTATACTTGTGTGGTGGTGTGTCTGTGTCACTCTGCAGTTACACCTCCAAAACACTAGTCGTTGGTGGGGTTTCTGTGAAGTGCTGTAAAGTTTAGTTGATTCAAAACTAGGGCTGCCACTAACAATTATTTTCATTGTCGACTAATCTGTCGATTATTTCTTCGATTAGTTGACTAATCATTTCACAAAAAATGTGTTAAAATGTTGAAAAATGTTGGTCTGTCTCGCCCAAACCCCAACATTACGTCATCTAATGTCTTGTTTCCTACTCACGCCGAAGGGTTTTAGTTCACTGTCATGGGAGAGTGTGTAAAGCTGCCAATATTTCAACGTAAGAAGCTGCAGTAAGAGTATTTTGGGGTACTTTTATAGTACTTTTCTATGAAAAATGATTCAAACCAATTAGTCAACTACTAAAATAGTCACCGATTATTTTAATAGTCGATTAGTCATCGATTAGTCGACTAATCGTGGCAGCCCTATTCAAAACACACATTAAACATTAAACATGGCTCAATAGAGACAATTTCAGTCACAATAAGTACACAAATCAGCTTCATTACAACTGACAAGATTCACAGACAAACACTTGTCTTTATCTGGACACACTGTCCCCACAAATACAACATGCTAACGTTATTAGCACAAGCCTATGGCATTTTACACTGTATACATTAGCCTAGCGACTAGCAGAGATTTCCTCTGCTCATATGAAGCCAGGATAAATCATGCACAAGACTTAAAATGCTATTTTTGTGGCGGCTTTATTGTCTTCACAATTAATTGTTTCTTACCTGTGAAATTAAAGTAAATACAAGCTTCACTTACACTTAAGGAAATGGTTTAAGCTTACAAAAATAAACAGGGGTGCTGCGTCGCTGTGACGTGTGGTCACATTTCTGGGGGGAGGTGCACGTCAGGCTACAGTGTAGGTGACGGTGTAGGTTCTCCGCCGGCATAGGTACGCCATCGATTCAGCGCAGAAGTTTAAGTCCCGCTTCAGTTCGTGTGACAGTCTGTTTGAGCCTTCCTGCGGCTGTTTGAACTCACCACATATTTAGAGGAGCCGTCCTGCACCACACTGGCGTCGGTCACCTCAAACAGCAAGTTGTCTGTCAGCTGCCTCCCAGCCGAGGTGGGACTTCCTCCTCCGAGTCCACGCAGGGTCCTCCAGCTCTCCTGAAGCTGCCGAGTCAGCAGGAAGGACGCAGAGGGGCCAACTGGAGACACGCCCACAGGACTGGTGTCTACATGAGACAGGTGAGACAAAGGTCAGGTGACTAAGTATTTATTGCTGTTAAACCATCATCTCTAATGTGACGCTAATCTTCGACACGTGTGTTTCTTGGTGATTATTAGATGAAAGGTTTCAGATTCAGATTCAGTAAGAAGCAGAGTCAATGAGCAGAGCTGGACTGAGGGGTTTTTATGTTTAAAATACTGACGACAATACTGAGACAGTGACAGTAAGTCGTGACATCCAACAGTTATTTATGTAAACACCACTTTCTATTCAGCACAAACTAAATCCATGACTGATCTGTCACTGAATATGCTCGGCCTTTCCACTGGGGCTGGGTGTCCCTGCTGGTTTTCTGAATCGAATCCATTTTGATTCACAAGGTCCCGATTCGATTCAATTGGGGATTTTTCAGTTACAATACCATTTTTTGCTATATTATGAAAGAGAACTAATAAATGGAAATTTTACAAGGAATAATAAATTCAGAACAGGATTAAAACTGAGTGCAGCAACAGTAACAATATAAACTCAGTATCTGACTGGAAACAAATCTAAAATGTCAATAAAATAAATGATATTCCTGACATCGCAATACTGAGTGAAGTGTAGAAGGAATAAATAACACAGACATTCCTGAGCACCTACATTTCAGGGTGCGCGGCGGCACCCTGAGATAAACTGAGTTCAACTTTTGGAACGCAGCAGCGCGCATCACATGTCATGTGATAAGGATCAACCAATCACAGCCGACAGATGTCTTTCTCTTCTTCTGTAAATATTCAGTCTGATAAACACGGAGACATTGATCATGTTAGTGCAGGGCTACCCAGAGCTTTACATCTGTCCCACAGACGATAGGCCTACACACTTATAAACAGCTCCTGGAAGGAGATCAGCTCTGACCTCAGGATTTCAGGTACATAGGCTATATGATGCTTGTAGAGGTTGCTTAGCGACCTCAGATGCTGCCGTGCTCTTGGAAGCTGGCACAGAAAAGGCACAAGAGTAGCGCCCAGCGCCCAACCGTGGTGATTTGAGAGGATCAATCATTGTCTAAGCTGCCTAGCTGTCTAAGAGACTGCCAAATGATGTTTCCGTCTCCTGGTGTCCAGCAGCAGGACTTTGAGCTCCACAGTGTGACGTTTTTTTACTCTTAGAGATGCTTTGAATGGAACCCATACATGGAGCAGAACAGGCAGCTTTATATGGAAGCTTCTGGGTGTGAAGCCACACAGACACAGGTTATACTTGTTAAGATTGTGAAGTTAAGACGGTTTGTATAATCTGACCTTTAAAAGTCGTGTGAACAAACCTCACGGAGCAAAGTAACTCAAGTTTAGCATAAGTGTATGAAAACGTTCTTGCGTGTGTTGAATGAGCAGAGCAGCTCACCTGTGCTGCTGAGCCCCTCCTCCATTGACTCTCCCAGGAAGTCTGAGTCACTGTCCAGCCCTGATCCCTCGCCCTCGGCTCCATCCTCTGCTCCTCCTCCTCCGCTGTCGAAGCACAGCGTCCCCCCGAGCCGATCGGTCACGCACTCCTCCTCCTCCTCCAGCTCCGCCTCCCAGTGGTCCTCTTTAAACTCCTCCTCTTCCTGTCCGCCTGCCGCTTCCTGCTCGGGTCCCGCCCCCTGACCATCTTTAAACAGCGAGCGCTTCAGACGGTCGAGCAGCCGGGACGCCATGACGCCACTTGGCCACCACAGGGGGAGGGGGGGAGGGAGGGACTGAAGAGACATCATAAAGCAACCGTTAATGATCAGCAATGTGCAAAACATTGATGAGAAGATGTGCAGAAGTGCATGTGGAGAGACAGTAAAGATGTGTGTTGATGTAACACGTGACATCAGATGAGCATCAGGGGCCTCATTTATAAAAGTCTGTGGAGAATCCACACTAAAGTTTGCGTACATACAAATGAGGAAATGTGCATACGCCAAAAAATATTCTGATTTATAAAACCATGTGTACACCTGCCAGTACGCAATATCTGCACATTGTTAAAACTTCAACAACCAATGACATTAATTTCATCAGTCGGCCTGGTTAGTTGAGATGAAAATGCCTCAGTATATTGACACTTATTATCATCAGGTAAAGGAAAGCCAAACTTTCCTGAATCCTGTCACGTGCCACAGCCTGACATCGTCCAGCTGTGCACGGTGCGCTCCACAGCTGACCACGAGTGTCAGCAGCATATAGTCCGACCCAGACCCTCTCCTCTGCGCTCCAGTGTTGGAAATGTGATGAGACAGCGTTAATAAAATACTGAGCAGGATTTGATTTGAGATTTAAGGTGACATATCGTCTACAACACTGCTGCATCTGGAATTTCTCAATTATGGGATCAATAAAGGTGTATCTTATCTTATCTCTTATCTTATCTGAACGTTTATAAACAAGAAACATGTGACATAAGGTGAATTCAAATGTGTGAGAGATCATTGTAATGATTCCTCTCACATCTAACTTCCATAATCTGGCTTCAATTCACCACCTCACCATCTGTGTCGCCATTTTCCTGTGTCCAAAATGTGCCTTTTTTGTGCATATGCAGTGGTTATAGACGAGACCCCAGGTCAGGGACATCTGGGCCTTGGTGATGAGACCAGCTGCAGTTGGGAAGAAAACTGTTTTAGTGGTGTGAGGTTTTGGTCCTGATGGACTGCAGCCTGCTGCCAGAGGGGAGTGACTCAAAAAGTCTGAGTCCAAATTGGGAGGCGTCGGCCACAATCTTTCCTGCCCGCCTCAGGGTCCTGGAGGGACAGCAGACTGCAGCCAGTCACCCCCGCAGAGTACTTTCTGAACACACGGGGGCACACAGTATACTCTACTGCTGCTACTAAAATAATTACTTCATACAGAAAGACAAGCAGATGTGTTCTGTTCTGAACAGACACAGTCAAAGTTGGGATGAAAAGCCTGCTGTCACAGAGATGGATGAGACGTAACAACGGTGTAGAAATGTGGGTAATGATGGACATTTTCATGCAGTGTCTCCTAGAAGACAGTCACAGGGTTAGTGCATGCTAAAGTGACTGAAACAGTCGTTTAAAGAATGAAAAGTTTGAGAGAGAAGATTTTTATGGGAGTCTTTTTTCAATAGAACATCTGCAGAGAGCGGTTCACTGAGCCTGATCAGTGCTCTCTGAAATTCTTGATGTGCAGAGATAAAAATGAACATGTTCCTTGATGTCCTGTAATGATCAGAGAGAATAAGCATTATTCTGTCTGAATATCCACAGTAAAGATCAATGGGACATTCTCTTCCACAATCCAGGTCACTTTTAAAAACCACCTGGTCACATTTCAGCTCTGCAGACACACTGATCTACATCCGAAACAAGTCGGCAGCATGCAGGCTGAGCTGGCTCCAGTTTCAGAGCTGGTGGCCTCTCTGAATGGAAATCATGTCACACATTAATAATGGAGCGGCTCGCTAAATCAGCCTGCAGCCAGGAAAACAAAAACCACGGCGAGGATTTGACCCGCAGAGCTTCCACAGGAGTCGCAGATTCAGCACGTTCAACGCAGCAGGTGTCTCGTTAAAGAAGACAAACACCTGGAAGATATCAGCAAAGTTCATCTAACCTCTACAAACAACTGTCTGAACTAACCTGAGTGGTTCTTATAAGTGTTAACACAACACAGACGCCAACTGGATGAAACAATAGGACACAGGCTCCTGGTAGGACGTGTTGTCCACTGATGAGAAACACATTGTTTCATTATCACATAATTGTTTCAAACCTACATCCTGTGCTGCAAACCTTTAAACCACTGTAGCTCCAGTGCTGTGTGCACAAAGTTATCACACAGACCTGCTTTTTATTGATATCATTTTTCATGTACATGTTGTGCAGCTATAAATTTTCAAACAAGGGAAAAAATCCCTGTCTTTATATTTTATTTCGATCATAGACTGTTTTTATAAAAGTGCTTGTGACATCTCAGACGTGGCTTTGACTCACAGCTGAACATGTAGAGAATACAGATATATATATCATGTATCGACGTTCAGCCTGAAAATACCCAGATATTAATTTTTCTCCACATCACCCTGCCCTACATCAGATGGACTGTATTCATAATCAATACGCCACAATAATATAAATAACCACTACCAGACACTTTTAGTAATGACTTTAAAAATATAGATTAATTTGGAGCGGATTATGTGAACGTCATATATTCTAATCCTCACATCCTAAACCTCGTTCTGTGGACGATAAACCAGGTGCAGACTTCCATCTGTGTCACCGCTGATGAGGAAATACAGCGAGTGCTGGACGGAGCAGTGAGTGACAACAACCCCGCCCACATTTAAGAGGACTGTGTGAACAGACCGAGGGTCTAGGTACCAAGGGTCCGTCCCAAGTCTCTTATTTTTATAGTGCTACTGCTAGCTCCTCGCTTGAACCAAAAGTCGTTCGAGGTCGGCCATCTTCTAGGCCGTGCCAAATCTCTTATTTGTACAGCGAGGAGCTAGCGCTAGGAGCTAGCAGCAAGCTTTAAGAAGCTACGAGCTAGGATGGTCGAGAGCTTCCTATCCAGAAGAGTTTTTCAGCTGAACGCCATGATGTATAAATACCCGCCCTCTACATCTGGCACATTTGAACGAGATGGCGGAGAAACAGTACAAGAGTAAGTACCCGTTACATGCATGCTTTGCAATGAATCGCTGTAATTCACGTACCTACTTCAAAGAGTAATGATATTTCATGCAAGATTGTTATGTTGCAATTAG